CCCCCGTCCACCGAACAGCATGGATGGAAGATTCTCCCCTGGTGGCTATTGCATTCTAAAAAGTTGACGCCTGCAACTATTAGAATACCTAAACAGTGACTGAAGTTGATTGGCTGCAGTCACTGTTCGGCTGACCATTTCCCACTTGACTCGGTTGGCCAAAGTTGTTTGAAATATCAATTTTTGTAGAGCCGAGGGGTGCCGCCGATAGAAGTTCATCCAATTAAGCAGCTTTGGACTGTCTTAACCTTTTTACTCTTAAGGAATCCTTGTAGGAAAAAAGTTTGCGTTTTTTTGGGAATCTCCTGGAATGTTTTGATTTGCAGAACATTATATTTGAAGAAATTCACATGCTGTACACTGAGTGGCCAGATTATTATGACCACCTGACGTTTGTAGGCAAATTAGCTATAATTTCGCGCTGAAGTTGCTAGAGGGCCAGACCATTATAAATAGGGAAGCAGGTTGTTTACCACGGAAGTAGAAGTGATTTTTTTTTTTTCCTGAAGATATGTGTAAACAACGCGATTTAACAGCCTTTGAACGTGGGATGATTGTTGGCACTCGGAGCCATGGAGCGAGTATCAGCAAAACAGCAGGATTCGTTAAATGTTCAAGAGGGGCTCATTGTTAAAAGTGTTTGAAGACTGGACTGTCAGCCGAAAATCTGGGTCTGATCGTGCGAATTGTGGCCGTCAGCGACTAGTCAATGTTAAGGCAGAACGGAGAGTGGCAAGACTGGTACAAGACAACAGAAGGGCAACAGAGCAGTGTCAGATTCCTCGCATCACCTTTCCACATCTCGTGGAGTCACAAGGCGGCCCAACGAAGTCATCTCGTGGCCCAACGAAGTACTGATGGGGTGGTCATAATGTATGTATGTATGTATGTATGTATGTATGTATGTATGTGCTATTGTTGCCCCCACACTCAGGCTATCAAGAAATAACTGATGCATGTTTTCACTTTCCCATACAGACGAAATATTAGCCAATACTGTTTGTTTTCCTTATCCACAATTCCACAGGCCTGGTATAGTTAGTGACTCGCTATTTTTATTAAAAACTAAATCTCCACTTTTTTTTTTTTAGCTATAGTCCTATTTTGGGTCAAAGGAATAAATATACTAATGTGCTCCTGTGACCCAAAGTCTGCAAACAGCAGGCTACTGCCTGCTATTTGCTTACAGCACAGAGCCATGTTGCAGCTGGTTTGTCAAGATATACTCCACTGCCTGATTGACAGCTGCCTCTACCGATCCAGAGCCAGCTGTGCCCGCCCCCTTCCCCGTCTGTCCTTCCAATGAGCGCTGGGGGGAAAATCCTTCGGGGAGCAGTGAGCTGAGCAATCAGCAGTTCAGGATCACTCAGCTCTCAATGTATAGAGCCGGCATGTGGCACCTGCAGTGTCGCACTCCGCCTGTAAGTATTGGGAAGAGTTCAGGGACACTAGACGTCTGGCAGGATAAGCAGGTTTTTTTTTTTTGTACTTGCAGCACTAAATATACTTGGCCTGAACTGGAAACTGCAATGCTGCAATATACCGTATTTCATGTTTGGTTTTGGGGTTAAGGTACACTTTAAAGTTGTGTAGGTTTTTTTTTTTTTTTATATCAAGTGGCAAAAAAAAAGTTTACCCATGTACAGTGGAGAGCAACTGGATTGGGTGGCTGCCAATGCCTGCACTGCATATGGCTAGTGGCCTGCTGGTCAGACATGACCCCCTTTTTTCTACTGGGACTGCAGCCTGTGATTAATTTGTCTGTTTTTCTGCAGAACTTGGAGGCTTACAAAGGCCCAGTAACAGCATTGTTCCATAATAACTCCCAGCCTCTCCTAACATGATGGAGCAGTTGTAGTCCATGGTTGGCAGTTTATGCCACTACTATGATGTAGAAAACCATAACTCTAAATTGATGTATAAGCTTTTAAAGTCGCCTCTGGACAATTTGGGGTACCAAAGTTTTTGTTTTTTTTGTTTTCTGCTTCACAGTTGCATATAATTTTGAGGCCTGGCATGTTTTGGTATCTTATTAACTCAATGCAACCTTTTATATTTTACCAAAATGTTGGGTATTCTGTAGAGCTGCAGCTAACGATTATTTTCAAAATCGATTAGTTAGCCGATTATTAAGTTCGATTAATCGGTTAATCGGATAAACAATCAAATACATTTTAAAAAATGGCTCCAGTGATGGACTACTAGTTTGTATTGAAAGGAGCAAGCTTGGAGCGGTGGAAGTAAAAAAGAAAAAAAAAGTGTGGTGTGCAATATAGTGAAATGGAAAGTGTAAAATTATACAGCAATGAATGCAGAATGGCACCGGCTATAGAGGACTACAAATCCCAGCAATAGTACATTATACAGCGCAATGCAGAATATCACCAGCTATAGAGGAGCACAACAAATCCCAGCAATAGTACATTATAGCTGGTGGTATTCTGCATTGCGCTGTATAATGTACTGTTGCTGGGTTTTGTAGTCCTCTATAGCCAGTGGTATTCGGCAGTGCACCACTGTATAATGTATTATTGCTGGGATTTGTAGTGCTCCTCTATAGCTGGTGGAATTCCACATGGCGCTGTATAATGTATTATTGCTGGGATTTGTAGTCCTCTATACAGCGCAGTGCAGAATATCACCAACTATAGAGTACAACAAATCCCAGCAATAGTACATTATACATACAGTATATAATGTATTGCTGGGATTTGTATTCCCATGTATAATATACAGCACAGTGTACCATCAGCTATAGAGGAATAAAAATCCCAGCAATACATTATAGAGCACCACGTGTGGGAAAGTGCAGGCTTATACCTGAGCAGTCTTCCAGCAACTTGCTTCTGAGATCGGGCCTGTCAATCTGCCGCTGTCATCCCCCCACACCTGCTCCTTACTACATCTCCCGAGTCCCTGTGCCGATGGAGAATGTGGGCGGGCGGTGAGTGTGAGGCGGGAAGGAGGTGCGGCGTGTAAAGCGTGGATGCGGGTCTGGCAGCGTTGAGTGTGAGTTGGGGAGGAGGTGGGGCGCTCAGCGTGTGTGGAGCCGTGAACAGGGCCAACTGATCAGAAGCCGATTAATCGATTATTGAAAAAGTTGACAACTTTTTCAATAATCGATTATTATCGATTATGTCGATTAGTTGTTGCAGCCCTAGTATTCTGTTTGCACTAAAAACAAATGCATCCTGCCTAATGCAGGGACTATGGACTTGCATTATATATGTCAGAAGACCGAGGGACAGTCCACAAGCCGGAGGGAAGAGAGGTCGCCACTGACTTCACTATACCCCCTGGACCAAAATAAAATAAAACAGCAGTTAACCCTTGCAGCTCCACTTCAAGGGGAGCCTTTTTTTTAACCTGATTTTATTTGGTACATAGGGGTGTGGACATTTAAAAAAAAAAAACCCTACTTTTTCAAGAACTAAAGTGGGGGCCCGATCTACTTGTCCCTCATGACAGTTTACATGTCGTGAACCAAAACCGTATTTAACCTCAGTAAGAAGTGCTCCTCATTGGTCAGGTGACCACACTTGCCAATGAGTGCTTAAAATTCAAAACCTACAGTGCTGGGCTGCACTGGACGGTAGTACGGGGTACTGGGGGAGTTGGGCGGGGACAGGCTGCTACAAGTGATCTAGACAGCTGTATAGTCGCCCAGATCACACGTACAAAACGAATGGCGGCTTCCCCTGCTCTACATTTAGCCCTGCTTGCTCACTGCAGTGCTAAATGTAGAGAAGATCTGTGCGGCGCCCGGAACTGCATTTCCCTGGCATTGGGTAATAGGAATTATACAGCCTTGATAGTTTTAATACCCTCTCATGCTTATTATGAGCTGACAAATGAACACATGTGAAGAAGGCATGCTTTTGTTTACTTAAAACCTGTTAAAATTTTAACTCCAGTCTGCTTATTGCAATGTTTGGTTGTCATGGTACTAACATAGTCCAGTGGTACTAACATAGTCCAGGGGTAGGCAACAGCCACCCTCCAGCTGTTGTGCACCTACATGTCCCATGAGGCATGGCAAGACTCCGAACAGCCACTGCCATGGCTTGCAGAGGCATGATGGGTAATGTAGTTTCACCACAGCTGGAGTGCCAAGGTTGCATTCCCCTGACAGTCAATTACCATGCTGATTAGTTACTGAGTGACTCTGTGGGTTCTTAACTAGGGTTCTACTTGTTCGCAGACGGAATTCAGGTTCTCTCCGCACAGGGAACATAAATCTACTGATTGTAAACTTCAAGAGGCTAATGGCATGTACAATATATTCTGTGTAGGGCTGCAACTTACTAATGGGTAATGAGAATAATTGTCAACTATTCTCATTATGGATTAGTTGGTTGGATCCCCTAGGTCTCTCCTCCATGCTGGTAGGAGGACACAGCAAGCAGTGGGTGGGTGCAATAGTCAGCCTGCTATTGTAAGTTGAAATGGCCAATAGCAGGCTGCCTATTGCACCCGCCCACTGCATGCTGTATTTACATTCAGCTGCCGTCTGCGGAATCTTGCCCCTGGCAGCTGTCATTCCCGGGCTGAAGCTATTCAAGCTCCATGTGCTTACACTACAATTTAGTTAAAAAAACAAAATGATAAAAGGTGTGAAAAGTAATTTTTTGGTTTTGGCCTGACAAATTGTGCTGCGGGAGGTGCTTTGCAGTGCCATTAATTTCAATGGCACCCAAACGTGCCTCCCACCCAGTGTGATTGCCTGCATTGGAACGCATGGTGCCGCAATGCCCTGCGTACCAGTGCAAAAAATTGTGCATGCAGTTTTATTCTAAAGTAAACTTTGTAACACGTAATTTGTGTATTTTATTTTACATTAAGGATGCTATTTATTTTATTCAATTAATCTAAAAAATAATCTGCCAACTAATTGATTACAAAAATCATTAGTTGCAGCCCTAATTCTGCGTTCTGTCATTGTAATGCTTTTATATGCCTTGTAAAATGTGTGTTTTATAGATTTTTATTTTTATTTGTAGCCGAAGCAAGCCTCCACGGAGGCAGCCTCCCAAGAAACCTTCTAACGCTGTGCAGAAGGATCCAGTTGGTGTAAGTTTAATAGTTTTTTGTTGTTGTGGTTTCTCACCCCATTTGGGCAACCAGAATTGTAAATATCTTTATGCGCATGAGTGTTTGTTTTTTATTCATCCAGGTTTTTGGGAGGGTTTTTATGAACAGAATTTGCGGTGTTCTGGGAGACTAGTACTGTAATGCGTAATTTGCATCTCTGATAACTGATGTAGTCAACTCTGGTCCGGGCTCTGTACTTACTTTGTTCCAAATTTGCTTCTTCAGGTTTACTGTAGGGTGCGCCCCCTGAGTTCACCTGACCAGGAGTGTTGCATTGAAGTGATCAATGAGTCCACCGTTCAACTGCACCCTCCAGACGGCTGTAAAGTCAACCGAAATGGGGAATTTAAAGAGGTGATGACTTTTTGCTGTTTAACGTTTTTAAATTTAACTTAAAGATAACTAATGGTCTCTTTGGAAGAACAAGTCTGTTTGCAGAGCTCAATTTCTACATTCCTCCTCTCCCCATCTGTTTTGTTCAGAAAGCGGTGTACAAAGGTTCAGTGAGAGTCTGAAGGCAGTCCGCTTCTACTCTGCTGTCTTGGCTGTTACGTATATATTTGCGATGCACCGATGCCGTTTTTTTCGTTATAGAGTACGGATATATATATATATATTTTTTGTACTCGCCTATTCCGGTACCGAAAGTCCCATTAAAGAAGCCAGGCGGCATGTAAAGACTCGCCACCCGGCTTCCTGATTAGGTGGGAAGCTGTCCCCATGCTTCTCGTCACTACGTCATGAGGTGACGAGGGACCATGAAGCCGGCTTCCCGGCCAATTAGAAAGCCGGGCACTGCGTCGTTACACGGCTCCCGGCTTCCTGATTGGCCAGCTTCCTGACCAATCAGGCAGCGAGTCATTACACACTGCCCGGCTTTCTGATTGGCTGGGAAGCCAGCTCCATGCTCTCGTCACTTGTGCCAACTAATTGATTATGAAATCAACTTGTGACGAGGGACGTGTAATGACTCGCTGCCCGGCTTCCTGATACCGGAAGTATCGGGCTAGGCATCAGAGCATTTGGGCGACTACGAGTAGTCTGTCCCGATATTAGTATTGGTGCATCCCTAGTATATATGTTTTTAAACCTCGATGAAACATCATTTATAAACACACACTGCTGCAATATGAACTCAAAACCATTATAGTGTCACTTCAATCCATCTGAGACATCTGTGTATACTAACCTTTCTGCATAGCAGGCATAAGGTAAGAAAAATGATAAACTACACGTACCCTCAGCCAATTTAAACAAACTGGCACATTTTTCCCTTATCTGAGGTCAAATTGTGCTAAAGGGTTTATTTTGGCACTTTGAGAAGTTCCTACCAGTACAGTGTACACTTGTTTGTGCGGTATAGATTGTGGTGAATGTAGTCCTTCCCCGTTGCAGATTGAAGATGTGGATTTCCATGCTCTGCTCATTGCAAATGATGTGACTTGTTCTGACTAAAACGTGTGACTGCAATGTAGTACAGGGGTCCTTTCTGTGTGAGTAGAGCAGTCTACAGTGATGGCACTGTGTACCCTACAGAAACCCTTCTTTCAGAATATGAGAATGAGGTGATTACAATGATGTTCAAGACTTTTTGCTTTCTTGACGAAACTCGTTTCCTCACTGCTTGTGTTTACTTTCCATTACATTTTGCCCTTGTATGTAATCTGACCTGCTATATTTTCTATGACTATTGCCTTTTTATTTAGATTTCCAATCCCTTGTCTTTTTTCCCTACTTCTGCAGTTTTAAATAAAATAGGCCTTGGCCAAATGATAGTTTTATGAAGAAATAATCACGCATTTGTTATGTGCTGTCAGATTTGATTAGGCAGGTTAACTACATACTTGTTCTGCTTTTCCTATAGACTCAGTATTCCTTTAAGCAAGTTTTTGGAACACTGATGACCCAAAAAGATCTTTTTGATGTAGTTGCTAAGCCCTTAGTGGAAGATCTTATTCGTGGCAAAAATGGTATGTTTTTTTTTTTGTATACTTTTTCATCCTCAGTTTGTGCTTTATGAAGACTTGTGTTTTTTAAATATTCTGGTTTGTTTTACAGGTCTTCTCTTTACATATGGTGTAACAGGAAGTGGAAAGACTTACACAATGACAGGATCTCCTGGGCAAGGAGGACTATTGCCTCGCTGTCTCAGCATGATTTTTAACAGCATAAGCAAGTTTCAGGCCCAGAAATATGTAAGTCCCTGATATTTATCTCTATAGTCATTTGCTTTATACTATACATACATCTTATTTCACTCATATTTGGCTACCAGTAGTAGTTGGTATTTTTTATGGTCAGCATTTTATTTTCTACAGCAGACCTTAATTCATTAGTGTAAAGCTGTTAAAGCGATTTCTGTTGCTACCCCCCAAAACATTTAAAGCATTTCTCCTGCAATAAAAGATCTTAAATGCTTGCCTGTCTGGTGAGCAGTGAGTCTGATCTCTCCTGTCTTTAGCAAAGTCTTCAGCTTTCAACACTTGAATTGAATGCCTGTGCCTTCCCCCAGACCCCATGTCACTACATGTAGTAAGTGGTGGTAAGAGTGCAGTGAGGGGGCCTGGCACCCGATAGCTTGAAGTGTTTAATTTGAATATTCTGCTGGAAGCTTTAGCATATGAAGACAGCAGAGTCGGTAATCAAAGTGAATCACCGACGCACGCAAAATGCAGTTTCCATTCTTCATTGATATATTTATTAAAGAATGTCACATCGTGTCATTAGAGGCTAACGTTTCAGGACCTCGCGGGGACCTTTCATCAGAGGGACAGCAGAGTCAGGACGCCCCAGTTTTTGGAAATTAAAATTGTTAGTGCCTTCTCTTTCAGCAGCAATGGTCTCTTGCCCATCCTATTTTTACCTGCACTGTGGACCCCAACTTCCTGTCCAGTGCAAGATCACCGAGGGCAGCAGAGTCTCCAGTAGCTATCCATCTACTAGCTTGAAAAATGAAGGGGTAAAGACGCACACCGCTTACTAGCACACACATGGGTGGCTCCATAGGCCCTAGCTAGGGAAAGGAGCAACTCTAAACATATTGTGGCCAGTGCTCAGGAGACAAGATTCTGCAGTAAACTAAAGGTGGCCATACACCTTACAATTATCTGCAGATTTTCTGTGGTCAGATGGAAAAAGTGCAACAGATTGGCCCAGGTGGAGATTACTCCATCTACACAGTTAGGCCCCATTCCCACTAAGCGATTTATCGTGCGATTTCCGCCGCGATATTGTGCATTTTTGCCGCGTGATATCGCCGGCCAATGCTATGCAATGGAGCGGTCTTAGCTCTGTCACTCCAGCAGGACCCTGATTTTGCGCGATTTTTCTAAAAAAATTTTTTTTAATGGAGCCCGGCGGTGAATGTTGTGCTACCGTCACTGGAATGTCGCGCTATCCCGGCCGCACGGATCCGCTGCAAAAGGTATGTCGCTTAGTGTGAATGGGGCATCAAGTGTAGATGGAGGAATCTGTTGTACCTTTTCCATCTGACCATAGAAAATCTGCAGATAATTGTAATGTGTATGGCCAGCTTTACAACCATTGTACAACGTTTGTTGTCCAGGCATCTCACCCTCGTTCAATTTTCTTACAACTAGCCCATCATGCACAGACCAATGTAGTTTGCAATTAACGCTCGTCGGCACCACCACCTGGCTGATTTTCATCGATGGGAAACGCAGATTTTCGTTTGGGCATGTGCAGTTTAATCTTGAGATTTTAGTTGTACAACAACGCCACTAACCTGTCAATTTTCATCCATTAGACAAAAGTTTTCTAGCCTGCTTTAAAGACAAAAATCTGCCAGTTGTACAGTAATTGAGGTTGTGCACTTCCCATCAACTGGCAGATTTTCGGACGAAAACGCAATCGCAGAAAAAAATCTCCAGATAATTGTAAGGTGTATGGGCACCTTTTTAAAACTTGTTAACATCAATGAGCATTATCCATTGTAAGTGGTCTAATCAACATTTGAAATAGCTTAAAAACCTTTTGACTTTATCACTTTAAGGCAAACATGTGTATTGAAATTCTTTGGAGACCCAACGGGATGAGGTTCCATGTTCCACATAATGGGTAGCTGGGATTTTCAGATGACTCAAATCAGCAGTGGGAGCTACCTTGTTTCAATCATGACAAGTTCAGTTTAAACCCCACCTTGTAAATGTTTTTTTTTTTTTTTTCTCAGATTTTTAAAACGGATGATAAAAATGGCATTGAAATTCAGAATGAAGTGGAGGCGTTATTGGAGCGACAGAAGAGAGAGGCTCAGGCACAAATGGCCACCAGGACTCCTATGAGGTGTGTATATATATGGGTGGTCTGTCTGTATTTTGTGTGGTGGTTTGTCCCCCCCCCCTTATGAAGTTTACCATTTACATATGTACATGTGTTTTGCAGGCAAAAGCTGGATCCTGAATTTGCAGACATGATTAACATTGAAGACAGCTGCAAGGTGGAAGACGTAGATGAAGACAGTGTATATAGTGTGTTTGTTTCCTACATTGAAATCTACAATAACTACATATATGATCTTTTGGAAGAGGTACCTATAGATCCCATCAAACCAAAGTGAGTGAAATATTTAAATGTTAAACTGCTGCTTGATTTTGTTTTTCTGTTTATACCCAGAGCCCTGTGACACTTAAGTGATATTTCCCACTTAAGGTTTAAGCTAACCATAGATGACTTATACTTTTGGTAAAGTGGCCATGCAAGCACCACCTGAGTGGACTAATGTATATTCTAAAATCAACTAGCAGACTGGAAAATTATTGGGTGAACAGTGTCTGCATCTTAGGCGATGCATCCATTGTTCAGCAGCGCCACTGTATTCTTGGCAGCCACGGTTGTCATGGCTGCTGAATGCACTAGCCGGCAGTGAAGATTCCTCCGTCAAGGCTGCTTAGCGTGGATAGTGAAAAATCAATGTGGGGGTTTTGTGTGGCGACAGTTGCTTTCTGCTTTTCCCCTTCCATATTTAGAGGACTTGTTAAATAGCTTAATTTAGAATTCTGTTTCATTAGCCATCTGCTTGCTGCTGTTTTTGAAGTGATGTAAAAAAAAAACTTAACTTTTTGCTATTCCTTTGTCAGATGGAACACGCCGGTAAAGAATGCAGAGTTTATGTATGTTTATATTACATAGCTTTTGCCTTGTTTCCCAGCTATCTGCCTGATTTCCCTGGTTTTGTAGAAAAAGCTTACCATCATCGTCATCATCATCGTTCTTTTGTCATGTTTCTAATCCATAATTTTGCATAGTCTGCATGCTCTCCTTTCTTGCTTTTTTTTAGCTGTGTGTATGTCCTTACTCTGCCAACAACCATACTAACCTGAGCTACCATGACTTGTTTTAGACCGCCACAGTCTAAGATCTTGCGGGAAGACCAAAACCACAACATGTATGTTGCTGGGTGCACAGAAGTTGAAGTTAAAACCACAGAAGAGGCCTTTGATGTGTTCTGGAAAGGTGAGATTTGTAGGCCAGGGAAGTCGTGCTAAAAAAAATAAATGCTTAATTATGGTTAACTGCATTTTATGGGCTACACGTCCTCTATGTGCTGCATAGTGCACAGATAGCCTGCACATTACTTTTATCCCTAGAAATATTTGGGTTGCCAGTGGCTGCAATGGCAAAGAAAAGAAAACCTCTGCCTGAGACAATTTATAGCTGATATTTATCATGACTTGTTCCTATGTACATGATGTTCTGTTGCCTGTGATCATAATGGAGTTGCAAAATGAGTTGCATGGGTTCCACTGTATAATGAATGCAGGAATCTTGCTGTATGCAGTTTTTAAGTACTCTTACTGTGTGTGTGAATAGATGTAGATAGATTATTTCAAGACAAAAGTTGGTGTGTGATGTTACTATTTATTTTTTTTTTTTGGCAGGTCAAAAGAGGAGGAGAATTGCAAACACTCAACTGAATCGTGAATCTAGTCGCTCTCACAGTGTCTTCATAATAAAGTTAGCACAGGCCCCACTTGATGCAGATGGAGATAATGTGCTGCAGGTAACTACTGACTTTTGGTTATGTCTTTGCTGCATGCTTGGCTCTTCCTAATCATTAATTTCTTTGACAGATCGTGATTTTTATTCAGTAACGTCCTGATCAGCATGGGCTTCTGTAATGCAGCCCTCAGGGAAAGGGGTTACTAGTATATGCTTCCTGACCATATGCTACATAGAAAACCTAAACAGGATGTTCCTATTATTTAACTGCACATCTTCATTACAAATTTAAAATGAGTTGTGATTATTGGAGACGTTCAGCCATGGGTGCCCGGGTGTCATCAATTTTTATGGCTTTAATGATTAGTCCTTGAACTAGAACCACTATCTTTGCATAGTTAGATAGTTAGTCAGGTTGAAAAAGGACACAAGTCCATAGAGTTCAACCTATAGAGATATGGAGGGAAAAAAAATCCTTGTCCCACTGTACTGGTGGGCACCCGTGACCTGTCCTGACATTGTATTGATTAGGGTGGATAATGAACCTTTAGAAATCATCTGGACTCAACTCATGATTTGGAGTATCTTGGTCTAGTTCAGGACAAAGCTCAGGCCAGAGTGTTTTCTTCCAGAGCAAAGTAAAAGGAAATTTCCCTCCACTGCTTCAGGCTTTGGTCATTTCAACCTCTGCTTCTTTCAGGAAGACTGATTCTTTATGCTAGGTGGTCCCCATAAGGGTGCATGAGCTCCTCATTCCATCTCTAGGTGGCTCGGAAGTACCATGACCGAAGCATATGGTCTTAAGAGTCGTGTTCCAATGCTGAGCTCAGCCGCTGCTTGGATAGGGGAGATGGTGTGTGGACTGCACATACATGCCTTTTAAACCAGGAAGTGCACTAATTCCTGCAATACTGGGGGTGACACCCAATGTCTGCTGTGTCCTGTAACTAAGCAGGGACCGTAGACTGTAAACATTGGAAATATTTGAGTCTGGCTTTATGGGTGACAGAAAGGTGTTACAGGTCTGACACTACTGTACTATAGCAACTACTGGGCCCCTTGTCTGCATGGGCCTGCTTATATAAAAGGTGATCTTGGCCTTTATAGCGCAACCTATACCTAGAGTGCTTGGTGGTACCTAAAAAGTAGCATAGGCTTGAACTGCAGCTGAGAAGGTTTAAACTAAGTCTCTCATGAGAAATTCTACATGTTAGGGACACTTGTTTTTTTTCACATTTTGAGCCATAGACCCTAAGCTATTCAGACACGGATTTTTATCTGTTTTTTCTGATCTGCATATTTGTTCTGGGTTTGACTCAAGGATTCTCTTTTCAAATGTACTTCTCACAATCCTAAAACATTCACTGCATATGACTAAACATGTGCTAGACTTTATTCCAATTGAACACTTCATGTTTACGTGCTTGCGTATTAGAGCTGCAGCTAACGATTATTTTCAAAATCGATTAGTTAGCCGATTTAGGTTCGATTAATCGGATAAACAATAAAATAAAGTTTAAAAAATGGCTCTAGTGATAGGACTACTAGTTTGTATTGAGGTTGTAGTCCATCACAGGAGCAAGCTTGGAGCGGTGGAAGTAAAAAAGAAAAAAGATAGTGTGGTGTGCAATATAGTGAAACGGAAAGTGTAAAATTATACAGCAATGAATGCAGAATGGCACCGGCTATAGAGGACTACAAAACCCAGCAAAAGCACATTATACAGCGCAATGCAGAATACCGCCAGCTATAGAGGAATACAATAGTACTGTATTTTTCCATGTATAAGACTATACTTTTTCTTAAAATATTTACCTAAAAATGGAGGGGCGTCTTATACACGGGGGGCCTAGAGGAGAACAGCGTTTGCGAATCTGCCGATACCTCTGCAACTAGCCTCACGAGAAACGTCCGATTGCAGAGACAAGCTGACAGGTTTCCTCCAATCATGAGCCTTACGTACCAGACGTCAGCTGATGCTGCGGAGAGCGTGTAGCCAGTGCCCAGATGCAACATGGAGCAGTAATGTCTGAGCCCATAAAAATGTCAGAAAACCAAAAAAATACCAGTACCAGTAAGCGGCTGTCTTACTCTGCAAAATGTTCACTGGATGTAATCAGTTATGCAAAAGAGCATGGGAAATATTGATTCCTGAATTTTGGGTAAGAAATGTGGGGGGCGTCCTATACATGGGGGCGTCTGATAGACGGAAAAATACGGTACATAATAGCTGGCGGCATTCTGCATTGCGCTGTATAATGTACTATTGCTGGGTTTTGTAGTCCTCTATAGCTGGTATTTAGCATTGTACCACTTTATAATGTATTATTGCTGGGATTTGTTGTAGTCAATAATCGATTATGTCGATTAGTTGTTGCAGCCCTATTGCGTATGCATGTAATTGTAAGCAATATGTTTGACATTGGACTTTGTTTTGTATGGCATGTTTACAATATTGTCACTAATGTTTCCTTGTTATACTTATAGTTTTTATATTCTGTCTGCTGGCCCAATACCCAAGTGTAATGTGGCATCCTTTTTTAGATTAGAAAAATTACACATCTTGCGCTTCAGTGTTGAGCCTTATATTGACTTAGCATTTTGTGATTTGTGCAGGAAAAAGAGCAGGCTACAGTAAGTCAGCTCTCTCTTGTGGACTTGGCTGGAAGTGAAAGAACAAACCGCACAAAGGCAGAGGGTAACAGACTGCGTGAAGCAGGTAAAGTCTAAGCATCTGGAGGATTTAAACTTATGCTAAACTTTTAAAAATGTCTAACCTAAAAGCAGGCAACTCAAGGTGCCTGCTGTCACCTTTTATTTTGCATCTGTTCACCTCCTTTTTATCCTTTTTAGTAGGGACTTGTTTCCCAGGCTTGGGTCCAACTGCCATTCCTCTGTCAAATAGGAGCAGTTTGGTGGCTATTTAGGGCATTCAAACTGCACAGGGTTGGTGTGACTTAGTCCAAACATAAGGGCTTGTTCGTACCATGACTGGATTATGTCCAGATCAGTTTGTTCCCGGACCAAAAAAAAGAATCCCAATGCATCCCTATGGTATTTCTGGGTTCTGTTCACTCCGTTCCAGTCCAGACAAAAAAAAATTCTGCTAATCTAATTTTCTCTGGTCTGGAAGGCATGGAAATGCACTGGACTGCACCTGAAAGCCCATTTTAGATGAGAACTATGGGTAAGTGTTTTTCCCCATAGTTCTCCTCAGGGTCACGGGAGGACATAAACTAGCATCCTCCCGTGACCCAAAGCTCCGTATACCGCCAACCTCGCCATACCTTGTGGTATACTGAGAACGCCGCAGCCGAGACGGATCCCGACATTACTGTCGCGATCCACCCAGCTGCATGATTGACAGCTGGCTCTGCCTATCTATCTAGAGGCAGAGCCAGCTGTACACGCCCCCTCCCCCGTTCATTCCTCCAGCCAGCGCTGGAGGATGGGAGGGGGGAATCCCTGCAGGGAGCCGTGAGTGACAGTCACTGCTCTCTGCAGGGACATGATCGAGAAGTGAGCGAGCGACTGTGTTCACTCACTTCCAGATCTATTGAGCCGACGTGTGACAGTTTTATTGTCACACGTCAGCTCGATCTATGAGGTTGAGTGAAAGTCACTCGCTTCATAGTTCTCTACGCTAAAAAGAAACCTGCACCGCAACATGGTAAAATCACGGGGAAAAATGCACTGCACTTAAAGGAGAACTATATGGGGTCAGTGTTTTTCCCCATAGTTCTCCTTAGGGTAACGGGAGGACACAAACTAGCGTCCTCCCGTTACCCTAAGCTCAGTATACCGCGAGCTACAGCTCGCGGTATACTGAGGCGCCGGAGCGGATCCCGACGTAGATGGCGGGATCCGCCCAGCTGCGTGAGTGACAGCTGGCTCTGCCTATCTAGAGGCAGAGACAGCTGTACCCGCCCCCTCCCCGTCCGTTCCGCCAGTCAGCGCTGGCAAATCGGAGCGGGGAATCCAGCCCCTCCCCCTGTCACAGCAGAGAGCCAAGACAGGATCGAGAGGTGAGCGAACACCGGTATGTGTTCGCTCACCTCCCGATCTACTGAGCCGACCTGTGACAGTCTCATTGTCACAGGTCGGCTAGAACTATGAGGTGAGTGAAAAGCACTCGCCTCATAGTTCTCCTTTTTAATTAGCACATCTGTTCCAGGCATGGTGTGAACTTAGCCTCCAAGAAGCCAAACTGCAAGGAATACATTTTAAATCAAATCGAAAGTACACACTGAATACTTTTTTTTAGCTAACAAAATAGCCACTGCCCTCTGGTTCTTGCAGTTTGGACGGATGTTTACTGATAAAATTGGTTGGCATGAGACACGATAAAAATGGTTCACACGGGAAATTGCACTGAATTTGTACATCTAGAAACCAATGTAATTAGTTTGAATTTTCTTACAGGCAACATTAACCAGTCCCTTATGACTTTACGAACATGTATAGAAATTCTGCGAGAGAACCAGATGTGTGGAACTAACAAGGTAACACTTGAAAAGCTCAACATATTTGACTATAATCCAGCTACCTTCCAAAACTTCAGTTTATTGAACTTAACAGGATCCAAAGTTTTTAACATAAATCCCTTGAAGAAAATTTATTTTATTTGATCCTGCTTTTTGTTCTGCAATGACACTTCTTTTTTTCCCCCACTAAGATGGTGCCCTATCGAGACTCCAAGTTAACACACCTGTTCAAGAACTACTTTGATGGGGAAGGGAAAGTCCGAATGATAGTGTGTGTAAATCCCAAGGCAGAGGATCATGAGGAGAGTCTAGTAAGTCTGAGGTTTTGCAAATTGTGGACGCCGAAGAGTCATTTGCTAGTGTGCTGCTAACCTCTGTTCTGTTTTACAGCAAGTTATGCGGTTTGCCGAGATGACTCAGGAAGTAGAAGTTGCCCGACCTATTGACAAGCCGATTTGTGGCCTCACTCCTGGCCGCCGCTATAGGAACCAGGCATTCAAGGATGAGCTTACTCGTAGGCTGGAGGATCGTGGAGGTCCTGTAAATGGAGGCAAGTGGGGGGTGGGGGGGGCACATACCTCCATATAGTAATTTGTTAATCTTGTTAACAAATAGTATTGGTGTTTGGCAATTAAGCAGCTTTGAGCCCTTAAGGGTAGTCGGAGTAATGAGAGATGGGCTACTAGGTGCCACCAATGCTACTCTTCATTGCTGTTTGCATTGTTATTATAAATTCTGATACTGTCCTAACAAACAAAATGATCTCCTTTTTAATTTTCCTTGTGATCTTCTCCTAGAACCCGACGAACAGGGAATAATTGAAATGCTCATTCAAAACTTTCCTCCCATTCCATCTTGTGAGCTGCTGGATGTCAATGATAATCAGACTCTACCACAGCTAATCGAGGCTCTAGAGAAACGGCGCAGAATCCGTCAGATGATGGCTGAGGAATTCAACAAGAACGGTTAGTTGTAACTCAATTTCTGAGCGAAATGTCACCAGCACTCCAAAGTAACGCTTATATCAGAAAATCTACATTTATTGACAATTTCGGGGCTGTGCAGGGTCCCGCCATCAGGCTCAGAAAAGAGTCTGCTAAATCCTGCGCTGCCCCGAAAGCACTTGTCTGACCGCATTTTTCTGATTTAAACGTCACTTTGGAGTGCTGGTGACATGTCTATCAAGCTTTGCTACTAACTGTGCCACTCATGGTCACTACAAGCACCCAATTGCATTTTTATGGGATATCTTGTAAGTAGTGCAGCAAGATACCTCTTCATTTATTGTAACTCTTCATTTATTGTAACTCAGAATGTCACATTCATACCACTCGGGCTTGTGCCATTGTCGAAGTGTTGTCAATGTGGTGTTTTGTTTTATACTTGTGAAAAGAAGCACATTGCTGTATAATGCTTTGTTCGGTATGAACTTGTGCATATATGTGACTTTAAAATATTTATATACCATCTTTGAGTACACATCTTTTGACTTCAAAAATTACTTCTCTCCACAGCTCTCTCCTTCAGGGCTATGCTGCAAGAAATTAATGGGGTTACGGCTGCAAAAGAGAACATTGCTCTGGGAAGGATGTCTGAAAAGGAAAGGACAATAGTGTGTCAGAAATCTGAGATAGAGCGACTCGAGAAGAAAGTCAAAACGTTGGAATACAAGGTGAGTATGTATGTAGCCCTGAAATTAAAATTTCAAAACCAAACTCAAAACCAAACTGAAAAAGAAATGTCAGGCCGAATTTTCCTTTTTTTATTTTTCTCTTTCCTAACCTTTTCAAATTTTTTTTAAAATATATTTTTTATTAACTTCTTTTTTTTTCTTTACTTATTTTTCTTTCTTTACTGTTGGGGGTTTTGGTGAAATATCAGGGGTCTAAACAGATCTCTTATAGTTTTCTTATAAAATAGAAAGAGATTGAGGACACGGTAAACATACCATGTCCATTATTTCCAAGCAGTCAGCAATCACTGAGTATTTGTACCCGCTCTCCATCCTGGATCAGCTGTCGAATGAGGCTGAGCGAGCACTGGGCGGAGGAGAACTCTAGCTCCTCTGACAACTGAACAGCACTGCCTGTCCCCTGGCAGCAGTTGCAATCTGCGCTTCCTAGAACCAGTCCCTCCTTCTCATGTGCCCTCTGGAATGCTCGCTCTGTCTGTAACAAACTCACCGCTGTCCACTATCTTATCTCAAATTCCTTTCACATGCTTGCTGTTACTGAAACCTGGCTTCAGGAATCCGACTCTGCCTCCCCTGCTGCCCTCTCCCACGGTGGCCTACATTGGACGCACTCACACAGACCCAATGGATGGAAAGGAGGTGGAGTGGGTATCCTTCTATCCCCACAATGCACTTTTCAAATTCTCCCTTCAGGATTGCGGTTATATACCAGCCACCTGGACCGGTATCTCGCTTTCTGGATGACTTCTCTGCCTGGCTACCCTACTTTCTCTCCTCAGAAATACCCCTATCATTCTTGGCGACTTTAACATTGCTACTAACATTAACACCCCAGCGTCTGCTCAATTCCTTAACCTAACCTCTTCTTTTGATCTAACACAGTGGTCAGACACTCCTACTCACTCTGATGGTAACATACTCAATCTTGTTTTCTCTCACCTATGCACTCCTTGCAACCTCTCCAACACCCCTTTCCCACTCTCAGACCACAACCTTGTCAGTTTCACACTCACCCTATCCCCAACCCTGAATCCCCCTACACGGCACACTGTCACCCGGAAAAACCTTCGCCACCTCGACCCTTCTCTACTCTGCTACCTCTATGACAACATCTCACCCCTGTCCTGCCCTGGCTATTTCTGTCTTCAACAGCTCACTTTCGTCCTCTCTAGACACCTTGGCTCCACTCACTACTCGCAGACTTAGACCACGTCCGCTACAACCGTGGCAAACAAATGAAACCAAAAATCTCAAGAGACATAGCCGCACTCTTGAACGACTGTGGCGAAAAACTAGATCTCTACAAGACTTCACCCTGTACAAAGCTGCCCTCCTAAAATATAACTCCTCCCTCCGTGCTGCCAAACAGACGTATTTTGTCACTCATTAACCACTTCAAGACCAGGTGTTTAGACCCCCTTCCTGGCCAGGGCATTTTTCAGTATTCAGCGCTGCGGTACTTTGACTGACGTTTATTCCGTCATGCAACGCTGTACTGAAATTAATTTTATACAATTTTCATTTTTGGGACAGAGAGCTTTCTTTTGGTGGTATTTAAACACCACTGGGGTTTTTATTTTTTACTATAATTAGGAAAAATTACAGAAAATTTTGGAAGAAAAGTTTTTTTTTACATTGTTGGGAAACATTTATTATTACCCAGTTTTTTGGTAAAATATATAAGTCGGGGTCACGTCGGGTAAATAGACACCAAACATGTCAAGCTTTAAAATTGCGCGCACCCGCAAATTCACAGAAAACTACCATACCCAAAATTGGCCATAGGCGACACTTTAAAAGCTTTTACCGCTCATCAGTTTAGTGTTGTCAGTGATTGATGGCCCTAGACTTATTGCTCTCACTGCGACGTTCGCGGAGATATGTAATGGGCTCAATCGTCTTCTTTGCACGTATGCGCCCCCCGACGCATGTTTGCATGCGTGTATGGGTGGGGACTTAAAAAAAATTTTGGTTTTTTTTAATTCTTTTTTCTTTACATTTTTGGGGGGGACTTAATTATTTTTTTTTTCACTAAACTTTATTGCTATCGCATACCGGGGTAATAAACCCCCTATGTGATAGCAAAATATGTGACAGGTCCTCTTTATGGAGACATCCTAGACTCTCTTACTCAAATTTTCAACCTCTCACTCTCTACTGGAATCTTTCCCTCCCCTCTGAAGCATGCCCTGGTCACCCCAATACCCCAAAAACCCTCAATGGACCCTACCGACCTCAATATCAGACCAATCTCCTTACTCCCATTCACCTCAACTCCTAGAATGCCTCATCTACAGCCGCCTCGCTGATCACAACCTTCTCGATCTCTTACAGTCTGGCTTTTGCCCCCTACACTCCACTGAAACTACCCTCCTAAAACTCACTGATGACCTACTCACTGCTAAAAGCAAAGGCCACTATTCCCTACTCTTGCTATTAGATCTTTCTGCTGCTTTTGACACTGTTGACCACCTGCTCCTCCACAAAAAACTCCAGTCACTTGGGCTACAAGACTCTGCTCTCTTATGGTTCTCCGCCTACCTATCTAAGCGCTCCTTTAGCGTTGCCTACAAATCTAACTCCTCTTCCTCTTTCTGTAGGGGTCCCCCAAGGCTCTGTCCTTGGACCCCTTCTCTTCTCTACACCAGCTCCCTTGGTCAGTTAATAACCTTCCTCACCAAGGAAACCGCAAAATTACTCATCCACTCACTTGTTATATCTCGTCTTGACTATTGCAACTCCCTCCTCAATGGCCTTCCACTACACAGGCTATCCCCCCTTCAGTCTATCATGAATGCAGCTGCCAGACTCACTTGACCAACCGCTCAGTGTCTGCAACCTCCCTCTGCCAATCCCTCCACTGGCTTCCAATAGCCCAAAGGATAATATTCAAAATATTAACAATCAGTTACAAAGCCATTGACAACTCTGTCCCCGGCTATATCTCAAACCTGGTCTCAAAGTATCACCCTCAACGTCGGCTCCGCTCATCCCAAGACCTCCTGTTCTCCAGCTCCCTTGTCAACTCCTCCCATGCTCGCCAGGACTTCTCTAGAGTCTCTCCCATCCTCTCAAATTCTTTACCCCAAACTGTCGCCCACCTTGACTGCCTTTTAGGCATTCCCTAAAGACTCATCTCTTCAGGGAAGCCTATCCCACCTCAACCTAACCGCTCAACCATCACATTCTCAAACAATTCATCCCCACACAGCTACCTCCTCATGTATCGCTTCCCCCTCCATTTTAGATTGTAAGCCCTCACGGGCAGGGCCCTCCTTACCATCTTGTCTTGATTTGTAGTGTGATTGTAATGTCTTCCTTATATTGTAAAGCGCTGCACAAACTGTTGGCGCTATATAAATCCTGTATAGTAATAACTGACTCCTACGCCGCCCAGCCACCTCGGACACAGCTGTCTCTGCCCCCACACCGCCGCTCTCCCGATCTGTCACAGGAGGCTGAGCGGTGTAGGAGGAGAGACGCCGGCTGCTCACAGCGCTCCTCCTGTGACAGCTTATCTCCTCCCCGCTGGAGGCTGCGCTGTGAGCAGGGAGGAGAGAAAGTAGGGATGCACTGCTATTTTGGTGAAAAGTGCCATTTTTGGGACGCGATTTTGGTGCATCCCTAATAAAATAAACACGCACACCTACCTGACACACACCTACCTGGCTCGCGCACACACCTACCTACCTGACACTGTCCTTCCTTCTGGAGGGTGGCTACTCCTTTCTCTCTTCTCCCCCCCCCGATGGTCCCCTTCTGTTGTATCTTAGCTACTGCTCTAAACTCACTTCGGTGATGGGCTGCAATCAATACAAATTAGGAAACTAAATGTTTGTAGTCCATTACAGGAGCGACCTTGGAGCGGTGGCGCCTACTATAAAACACACAGGGACCATGGGAAACAAAAGTAGCCCCCCTCCAGAAGGAAGGACAGTGTCGGCACCAATTCAGAGATTTGAGGATCTACAGCCGAGTGATACACAAATAAGATACATTTTTGTTAATACTTAGGGTACTTGAATGCATTTTTATGATTTTTAACACCTGAGTTTTTAGTGTCACTTTAATAACTAGAGGGATTTTGTGGCAAATGTTGAAGGTACCGTTATCCGGCAGATTAGTCGATGACCTGGCCTTGTGCCTTGATAGATGACTTATACTAAAGTGTGCCAGTAAGGATATTGTTAGGTTACTTTATCATGCAAAAATGATTCCAGTTCTGTGCTTAACATAAGACTACAAACATACCAAGTGTTACTTTTCTGACTGCGTTACAGATTGATATTCTGGAGAAGACTACCACAATATATGAGGGGGAAAAGCGTACATTGCAACAAGACCTGGAGAGCCAGAACCAAAAGCTGCAGCGGCAGCTCTCTGACAAGAGGCGATTAGAGGCACGGATTAATGGCATGGTAGTTGACAATGCTATGAAGTGGGAGAAAGAATGTGTAAGTAATTGCTGAGGGACCCTGACAGTTACTTGGATAAGAATTGGACAGCTTGCACCAAATCATCACCATGTGGAATCCGTTACATTTGTATATACAAAAAGCTTACACTCCAGCAATGCAGTGGCTGCATATATTTGAACGAGGCTCCATGCCATCTGTCCTAGACCTTGCAATAGTTTTGTGGTGCAGCGTGACTGTCAAGATCAGCACTTAATTTTATTCTACTGAAGCCTGAGGATTCCAGCTACAAACGAGATTAAGCCCGGGTATACAGGCTTATATTTTATCCATTTAACCTGTGGGCTGAGCAAAAAAAATTGCGTAGATGGGCGAATCTCCTGTTTACATTGTGTTCTGACAGCCGGTGCTGTCGGAATACACAAACCGTGTTTTCAGCTGATTTGCTACAAGTAGCTTTCGGCTGTAGATTTTCCAACCGTTTCCTTTAGCAAAAGTTGATCTAATCAACTACTTCTGCCAATGGAATAGGGTCCTGCTGAATGGGCCAAAATTCGCTCCTTGTGTACCCTGCTTTAGTTGCATAATATAAGCACCTTTTACATTGGAATTATTTGCAACAGTTAAATCATACAATTGCAAAATAGGAGTCCTCTGCATGTCAGGAAAGCAATGCGGTGCTTTTTAGCCTAATAGTGTTGTAATACCTGCAAGACCGTATGATATGAGAAGGCATTCAGCCAGCATCTTTTCATAAAGTGGTCCGCCCAAAAGGTCATCCATTGAGGGAAACGGGAGTTCTTAGCAATTCCACTTACCGGAGAAATGGACACTGGCAAGTCAGTAGTTGGCATAGGATAACCTTGTCCACAGCCATCATACCTCATTTTTTTGCTAGTGTTCTCAAGAGAGTGGACCTGTTTTCCTCAGCTCTGCTTTTAGAAATCTTTCAATCAACAGCTGCTGATCGACTCATGCTGGATATATAAAATCCTGGATAGTTTCGCCAGTCAGCCAGTGGCACTGGTAGATTCATGCCGGATAATTAAATTCCTTGATGGGTTCCTTCAATTAAGAAGTGGCTGTTTTCCCAGTTTTTATACTGCTGGTCTCTGCAAAGGCCCTGAATTTCTGAAAGTTTCTATGGTCATTGACTGCTACTGATGATTTCAGGACTCGGATTTTGAAAACATTAGACAACTCTCCCATCTAGATGAGCAGCGCAGGTTCCTAGCTTATTATACTGGTGTTCCCTTTGCGTGGGGTCGGCAGTAACTACCGATTTTTTATTTTTTTATTTTTTTTTGTATTTTGGGTTGCACAGGGCTCCACTATTCAGGTCTGGCCAGTATGTCTGGGTGTTATGGATTTGTCAGTCCACAGCAGAGGTGATTTTCACTGACCCCCATCTCTGACTCTCCGTCACGAGTGGTTGTGACAAGCTAATGCTGTGTTTTGGAGATTCTTCCCCATATTGTGTCTGAGGAAGAATTGTCAGACCAGGCAGACCATTTAGCCTTGACTGTCCAAACCTTGCAGAGGTTTGAGTATATCCTCAACCATCAGAAATCTGCACAGGAATAGACTCATCAGTTGGAGTATCTGGGTTTAGTCCTAGGAACTTCTCAAGATGGCGTTTATCTTCCTCCAGAGAAACTATAAACTCTCTGCTCCCAGATTTATACTCTTTAGTCCAGGGTTTACCTGACTCTCTGCTTCTGGGATTGACGGTAGCATCCTTCAAGGCAGTCCTGTTTTGCCCAGTTTCACTGCAGACCCCTACTGTGCAACATTCTTTCATCGCAGGACAAGTCTGTCCAGTCCTTGGACAGATGGATTGTCTGGCACAAAGAACCAGGTTGTACCTGGCTTGATAGGTCAAGAAGTGGAAGGTTTGAAGTCCTTTCCTTTTGGAAGATCCTCACTGCTGAGGCCAGCTTGTTGGTCTGGGAAGCAGTCCCGAGCACTCATTGCAGGGGACTTTGAATCCCATTTGACATTTTTTACATTCTTTAACCGCGGTCAAATTAGGCTCGCCTTACAGCGCTGGACCACACAGATGAAGGGTCATTTTGTCCAGAGGACTAGCACATCCTGCCCTGGGCAGAACTTCACATTATAGCCTTGTCTGCCATTTACATCCCAGCTGTGAAGAATTGGCAAGCAGACTTCCTGAGCCAGCTACACCTGGTCCCTTGGGAATAGTTCCAGAACCTGTGTCATAGGTGGGAGACCATGGAGGTGGACCGCTGGGCTCTTAAATTTAACAACAAACTTGACAGGTTTGTCTCTAGCTATAGCAATTCTCTAGTTTATGGTCTGGTGGCTTGGTGGGATCAGTACACTGATCTGCTGGGTTTTTTGGGGTTTTTTTTTTTTTCTCTCTCCCCTCTACTTCGCAGGATTGAGATAGAGGGGTATTTTTGTGATCCTAATTGCTCTGAAATAGCCCAGGCAGATGTGGTTCTCCAACCAGATAACATTTTCTGGCAGATGTTCCATGGACTCTTACAGATTGTCTCCACCACTTCTCATTGGCTGAGGCAGACATTATCCAAGCCTATGATCCAAAAAAAAGTTTCATGATTTACTTTCAAGGCACATTCTACTAGATCCGTGACTTTCAAGGGATGAGAAAGATAATCGGATTTATGTACTTAAGTTAAAATACTTTTCTTAGAGTTCATTGGGGCACCCAGGTCTTATCAATGTTTATAATCATGATCTTGGTACTGCAGAGGCATGCTAGTGGTAGGAGGGGTTATCCCAGGCTGTCCTACAGTTGTTTTGTCATTGTCCAATCCTTCTGTAAGTGGCAATATAACACGAAGGTGAATGCTCCCTGTGTCCCTTAATAGACTTCAAGAAAAAGATTTTTACGGTGAGTATATAAAAAATAAATCCTCTAAACCTTTAGAAATGTCTACTGCATTGTATTTGTTCTGACATGGAATTCAGACCTTGAGAGGCATTATTTTATTTTAAACCAGTGCTAGACACTTTAGGGAAAGAGGCATAAAAAAAAATGTGTATATAAAGCGTCAGCTGGGTGTGACCAAGATTCCTTTGTATCTGTTTGTAAGCATCAGAGTTCCTTTTTGGTTGGTTATAAGATTGTGTTTCATTCCAGGAGCGACGTGTGGCAGAAAAGCAGCTGGAGATGCAGAACAAGCTGTGGGTAAAGGATGAAAAACTAAAGCAGCTGAAAGCTATTGTAACAGAAACTAATGGTGGACGTCCAGAGAGACCATCGCGTGAAAAGGACCGGGAGCGAGAACCGAAGGTTCCCATCAGATCCATCTCCCCCTCACCTGTTCCTGTATGTGTCACGTGGGCTATAAGGTGTTGGTTGGTGAAGGGGTTATCTGGGTGCATAGCTAGGTGGTGGGATGTTGAGAATTCACGCTATCTTTGGTGGGTTACTGTAGGTGTCTGGTGATCTCTTATGAAGGTTTGGCTCTTCCATGTGGTGCTCAATACTGACACAATTCTAAATTTGTGTGCAGTTTTTGTACACAAGACAAGAATTGGGTTTCTATTCACAAAGTTGATTGTGTATGACCTGCACATCTTCCATCCTTGCAGTATGCAAAAGGCCCAAAACCCAGGCTTCAACATAATATATGACCCTAAAGGAGAGGATACTCTACATAATGTGCTTGTTCCTGTGCAGTTGACAAAACTGTTTGCCTCAGACTGACAGCTTGAGTATAAGCAGCATTGTTAGTGAGCCATAAAACTGTACATTACAATACTGGATCATCAGTATGAAAGTCCCTTTCTTTTTCAGGTGTTGATCTTATGTCTTTGGTTTCTTTAGCTTCCTGGTACCCCTGTATCGCAGCTTCCACACAGCCAGCTCAACCCTCTTTGGCACAGGCGGTCAAACTCATGCAGCAGCATTTCAGTGGCCTCCTGTGTTTCACAATGGGAGCAGAAAACTCCACAGCACTACTACGAGAGCAAGACAGGCCCCACCCTCAGGCGGCGGGAGCCAGCGGCAGCTAGGATTTGTAATTCAGCAGAGACCAGAGCAGGTTATACAGCCAGCATACAGGCAGAGGAACAGTCTCCCAGGGTTAGTGAGCTTCCAAAGTACTATAGTAGTAAGCTTCCTAAAACGAGGCATTTCCAGCAGCTGCTCTGGCAAATGCCAAAATCATCATCAGCTGATGAATGAATACAGAATTCCAGCTAATCTGGCTATGATGCTGCTGCTGCTTCTGTGTTGCAATGAAATCTGCTTGCAGATATTACTGCTATGTCGTTCTGTCTTGTGGCTGTCACAAGGAGCAGTAGTTCTCGAAGCAGATGTTCTCAATAACGAAATGGATTTCTGAAACTGCAGTCAGTGTGTAGAAGCTGTAGAACCTAAAAAAGGAAAATAATTCAATTTGCAAATGAATCAGTTTAAATCTTACTGCAAACCCTTCTAGCCTGTAAAGTCTTAATCTCTTTAAAAAAAAAAACATTTGAACTAGATGAGCGATTGTTGGGTAGACTCACTCTGTTCATAAATCCATTTCACTTCTGACCTTTTTAATGCAGTCATTTCCTTTTAGATAACAGTTCTTATACTGTAACTAATCTGATCGATCTTACATTATGTAGTGTCCTATAGCAATCTGACAGACGTGCTTCCTTGAACCTCTTTATATGATTCATGATGATTATGGTTTCCTATCAACATAATCATATAATATGCACTATTAAATGTGCCCTTTTACTGTGCTGTGATTATGCACATTGGCTGCAGTATCACAAATATATGTCTTAAAGAGACCATGTCAGAAACTTAAAAAAATTGCAAGTAAAAGCATAGAAAACTTGTATCCTAAATGATTATCCGCAGAATCTTTCCTTTACCAAGTTTACTCTTTTTTGACTTGCAAAGTGCCTATGAATTTTGCTAACAAATTTGACTACTTCAGGAAAATCGGTCCCCCAGCTTGGCCCCCTCTCTCTCCTTGCACATTATATCCCGCTCTTCTAGGAGTGTCTGTTCTGTGCTGGTCTAGCTCCTCCACCCCTCACCTACCTAACCTTTTTTATGTAGCTGCAGAGGGAGGAGAAAAGGAATAACTTGGAATCTGTTTGCGTCACATTCAGATGGCAGCACGTAGCAATAGTCTGATACATGTAAATAACATGCCTAAAATGCATCTCCTAATCTTATTGGAGGATTGTCGAAATGGTCTTGTGACAGGGTCTCTTTAAAAAAAAAAAAATCGCTACTTTTTTGTCCTGAAAGCTGGAGTGTGCTTTCCTTCTAAATAGATTTATGTTATGAAGAAACTGCAACCTGCCCTGTGTGTCCCTGCAGTATTAATGTCTGAAGTATTTGTCAAATCATACTCCATGCTGCACTGTATCTGTTAAGAGGCATTTATGTAGCACCAACATTTTACACAGCTCTTTTAAATAAGTTCCTGACCTCAAGGAGCTTATAATCCGTACATATCTCACATGTATACCACTTCTTCTTCTTTTTTCCATTGCTGTCTTTGTTCCTTTTTGGAAGGAACTCACAAGGATAAAGACAACTTGAAAAATAAATGCAATAAACGGTGTAACGTCTGCTATTCTACAACATCCCTTTTTTTTGGCTGCATCCGGCTATAAAATGCCCTAAATCAGAACTGCGGCCAGAATTTTTCTTAACCCCTGCAGTGGGGCTGTGTCTGGGTTAAATGCTCATTTGTGCCTAGGTGGTAAAGAAAAAAAATTGTGCTCACCTGATCCTAGAAGCCACCGTACCCTTAGTCCGGTAACTGAAGCCTCTCGTCCCCTCCACTGCAGCGGTCTAAGATCCCATAAATCACGTTCTATATGTAGTTTAGCACCTAGACAAAAACGAGCACTTGGCTACCTCCTCACTGCAAGGGTTAAGAAATTCTGTCCAGAGTTCTGTAATTTCCAGGAAAGTATTTCCCCCTAGTATGCAACATCCACTAAACCTATCTACTTTATGAAGTAGTTAAATGCCTTTTTTCTAAGGCAGTTTTATGTTGATGTACACAATTACAGGAAATTGTGCTCCCCTGTACATGAAGCCTGTTACTCCAACTACTGCAAAACAAAATCTGTAAGCAACTGCACAAGGTTCTGCATTGACTTTCTTTGATCGGTGAGCTGTGGTGGGTTGAGCTGCTTTCCTTTTGAATATTGGCTTATTGCTTTGCTTTCAGTTATTCTGCACGTCTCTAATTATAATGTATATATTATCAAATGTAAATCTTTGTAAGGTTGCTGATCATTAGGCCTGGTAATCCTATGGGTTACACTATTTTCTAATGACCCAGTGAGGCTGACTTAGTAATGGAATTGAGAATAATCCCCCTATAACTTGTGCTAATCACTTCAATTATCCAATTATATGAAAAGAATTGCTGGCTTATGTCTGCTGCATATGATTGGGTATTCAAAGTGAACAGTCATTTTGCTTTGCTCACAGATTGGTTAAAGGAAGTGATGGATTACAGAATGTATTGTGTGAGGATTCTCAATTCCTTTACTAAATCAGCCCAATTGAGTTAAAATAGCTGAACTCCAGCAGGTAAAAAAAATATACTAGTGTCCTCCCGTGACACACAGCTCAGTATATAGCGAGCTACAGCTCGTGGTATACTGAGACTGCTGCAGCTGGGACGGATCCCGGCAATACTGTCGAGATCCACCCAGCTCCGTGATTGACAGCTGGCTCTGCGTATCTAGAGGCAGAGCTAGCTGTGCCCGCCCCCTCCCTCGTTGGTTCCTCCACTCAGCGCGGGGGGAAATCCCTGCGGGGACCGTGACTGTCAGTCACCACTCTGCAGAATGATGATCGAGAAGTGAGCGAGCAACGATATGCGTTCACACACTTCCCGATATAAAGCGCTGACCTGTGACAGTTTAATTGTCCCACGTCGGCTCGAACTATGAGGATGAGTGATTTTCACTCACCTCATAGTTCTCCTTTTTAACTGCTTTTATTCTGCAGAGCCTTCAAGGACCTGGCTCTACTGCTTAGTGTGGGTGCCTGGTCAAACCAGTATTGCTATTCCTTAGTATAGCAGGAAAACACACACACACACCTAGGGAAGACTTTTGTTTTACAGCAAGATAACAATGGGTTTAAAATATGAAGTGTTGAATTCAGATGGGTTATTTTTTACCACTCTTTTTAAGGTATTGTGTACATGGAGCTGCCTATACTTGTGGTGGTTTTGCACAGAGAATGGGGGACATTGGCTCATACAACCCCTTCATGCCAATTCCAGCACTTGGGACTCCTATGTACACGAGTTCCTGTCTATAAATTGCACGTACCAGGCCTGTTGAATGCACCTACATTGGCATGTTAAATAATTTTATTGATTTTTTCTCTGTCTTGATTTTGATTTCTGGTCTTGCTTAGACTGTTCCCCCGGTGCACACCAGGCACCGCCGCTCTCGCTCTGCAGGGGCGGAGAAATGGGTAGACCATAAACCATCTAGTAGTGTGGAGACCGAGACACTCATGCAGCCTCATGTCCCCAACTCCATCAAAGTAGCTGTGGCTAGCGAAAAAGCGCTGGCAAAATGTGACAAGTACATGCTGACACACCAGCAGCTGGCCTCGGATGGGGAGCTTGAAACTAAACTGATTAAGGTAACAGATATTCAAGGGTTGGGGGAATGTGGGTCTTTATCCTTCGTTGTATGAAGACAAAACGATTCTTTGATATTCAACCCAGTGTTTCATCTGCCCTAGTTTTCCACATAAGTTATGTGAGCAGCAACATTTCTTTGCATGCAATCTGACTCTTTCTTGTACATTTCATTATATAGTAAGTTTCCTACTCCTGCTTTTCTGACCTTTCCTATCCTCCACACTTCGGTGAGCACCTAATAATGTCTGTGACCATCTGCAATATAATTTTTGCAGCCAACGGTTTATAAATCCTTATTTTCAGGGTGATGTCTTCCGGACTCGAGGTGGAGGTCAGTCTGTACAGTTCACAGACATTGAAACACTCAGACAGGAATCTCCTCCTGGAAGCAGGTATGCTGTAGTTGCCTGCAGACAGTGTGCATTGCCATCTTTTGAAGTATTGCAGCCTTTTATGATGGAGATCTTTCTATAGCTAGAATTCTAGGCATTAGCAGCTTTGACGTGGGAGTAATTTTTTTTAACTTGTCTTACAGCCGCAAGCGGAGATCATCTGAATCTAACCATCCTCTACAGGGAGAGAGCACAGAATCTGAGTGGACGGATGTAGAAACCAGAGTAAGTGTAACTTGAGGGTAGAGGGTGTTGTAAGTTATATACTATAACCTGTTCACACGACGTCCGTTTTGTGTGCTGATCGGCTCCGTACGCTGCTGCACTCAAAATGCATCCCAATATCCCTATGTGTTTTATGGGCTCCAGTTCTCACGTGCGCAGTCCGTTCAGCTTACGACAGAAAAAATACTGCATGTCACATTTTGTCAGGTCCGGATACGCAAACGCGTCAAAAACGCACTGCGCTTCAGCTAATATGCTAACTTTTTTTTTTTTGCTGGAACGTATCAAAGCGGCCAAAACGCAGCCAATATGTGGCCAAAAACGAAATGCATCAGCAGCTCCACGTCTGCTGATCAGGACCTGATCTCATGTGAACAGGCCCTAAAAGTGATAGTTGGCAAATGCTTTGCAATTGGGTAATAATGCCCGTAGGTCCCAGTTCATGAACTACATTTAAAAGGTTGTGTGATGTTTTAATTATGCACTGTGTGAAAGCATAGACATCTTGTGCAAAACATTCTGAATCCGCAGGCTCTTTGATGCCTTCACTTATACTGTGTGTGCAATGTAGCGGGTACTGAGAATTACTGCCTTCAGCATCACTAATGGTAAGAAATAGCTGTATGTGGGCCACTAGCACTGGCTGCGGGCCAATGTAATCTTAGTGACACTTCCTCCGCACTTTCTGCTTGGCATATTTTTAAATGGTTTCCAGCAATGCTTACTTGGCACCACCTGTGTATTCTGGATGTCATGTTCGGTTCTTGTATTGGTATTTAATGTATTTATTTTCCTCTTTTGCAGTGCTCTGTGGCCGTGGAAATGAGAGCTGGCTCTAATCTGGGGCCTGGGTACCAGCATCATGCTCTTCCCAAGTAAGTCAATGAAACAATTTTTCCCACCTTAATCAAGATTAGACATTGACCCAATGTGACTTTGTGTTTAATCCCTGACCCATAGATATGGTAGGTTATGGTAATTAACCCCTTCATGACGGTGTTTTTTTCTGTCTTTCGTTTTTTGCATCCATGTTATAATCCACATTTTAGGCCTGAAAATTACTTCAAACTCCCAAACGTTATATATTTTCTGAAAACCAAGACCCTGTAGAATGAAATGTCGGCAGTTGCAAATTTTTATGTTGCACGATATTGGCGCACCTCTTTAAATACCCAACATGCCCATGTTAAAAATTGTGGGCGTCTGAAACTGCGACAAAATTCAGTACCCCAAAAAGTCCATAGACGCTCTAAAAGCCCCTACAGGTCATACGTTTAGAGATGCACTTAAATATTGGCCCTAGAATTATTGCTCTCACTCTGGCGTGCGCAGCAATGCCCAACATGTAATGCAAGCATCGTTTTCATACGTAGGCGCCTCCCGACGTGTGTTTACGTGAAGATGTGCTGGGGAGACTTAACTCTTTTTTTTTTTTTTTTACTTGCTCTTGCATAGTGGTGCTTACAAGCCCCCATGTGGCAGCATATTCTCAGTGACAGGTCCTCTTTATGGTAATACTGAGGGTCCAAAAGACCTCTAGTGTCACCTTTTACACTTGAAATAAGCTATTGAAGTGCAGATCGCACTTCAATAGCTTATTGCTGAGCTTCAGGAGCCGAGCAATGGCGGCTATGGGACCGGAAGTGATGTAATAGGCATCGCTCCCGGTCCCATAGTGCGGGTAGAAGATCAGTGAACGGACGTTCATTGCTCTCCTCCCCATTGACACTGGAGATGCCGTTCCCGGGCCTATGGGAGGGCGGCGTCAGTTTACTGGCCCGTAGAAGGGATCTGACAACAGCTGAGTCTCCAGAATCGCTTCTGTTGTAAAGCAGACGGTCTGCTTTACAAGTGTAAACGGTCCCGGCAGCAAAAGCCGCCTGGAGTCTGTTTAAACGTGCCCACTGATGTACTAATGTACGTCACTGGTCGCGGAGGGGTTAAGTACTGTGTACTGAATTACACATGTCTCTCTGGTTATCCTAGTTTGTACAAGTCTTCCAGTAATTAAACCGCAAATGGAGATGTTTTCACATTAAATGTATCTTTAATTGCTAAAAGTGCTTATAGAAATCAATCAGCAAGGCCATCTTTAGACTGTCTACACCTTTTGAGGTCATGTTTCATCTGCGGCGTGTGTTGCTAGAAACTTGCTATTTAAATGGCTCTTTTTGGGGTTTTGTTTCTTGAAACCAGCAAATGCCAGAGTGACCTGATCATACCCATTGTTGGGCTATTTTGGAAAGGGTACGTTTTTTGGGGGTTTTTTTTGTCTTTTAAATGTTCAGCAAGTTAACAGAAGTCGATGTTAACACCCTACAAGGGAGTGTGGAGGGTCATGCTATAGGTAACACACCACAATATTAACCCCTGTCTGGCTGATGTGACCAATGTTGATGACTGAGACTTGTCTTAATGTCTGTCCATGTTATTTCTCTTTCCAGGCGCAGGAAACCTTGAACAATGACTGAAATCTGATTTGTTGGATCGAAAGATTCTGGGGGGTCAGAAGAGTGTGTGTTTTTTACCTCCAGTCTGCAGAATTATCCTGAAGCTGTTACTCCATCTGGCCAACTCGTATTTACTGCCTGGAAGACTGTCATTTATCCAACGCAGCCAGCGTGCTGAATGATTTTTATACAACCTTTCATGAGCTTCTCATTACACCTGCTGTCTGAGAGGTGTTGTCCTAGACTCTACACACTTCTAAAATTATCATGAAAGGGTTTTTATCATCTAACTTTTCTTTATACTGTTAGTTAGAAATATTGCTGCTATTCCTTCAGTGGCAAGAATGCACTTTACCAAAGCTTTTCATTAAGAACACTGTTTATTTAATGCGCCCGCCCCCGAGTATTGTACAGGATGTCTATACATTCATCTACTAACATCCATGAGAGCTGAGAACCAGTTTTACCATTTACAGACTGGTTTTAGAGAATTAATAAACTTTCAGAAGCTTTCATAAAACACTTTGGGCTTCATTAGTTTGCTTGTAACGTAGGAGCGAGTAAGCACACATCTTTAAAAGTGCAGCACCCATTAAGTATATATGAGGAATGGGTTAACTTATTGGGATTCATGTGTTTTAATCAAGATTTCTTTTTACACTCTGATTAAGGCTGCACTACAGAAAGAAAAGTGGGCATCTTGTATAGTCTCAAAGAGCAAATGCCGCCGATTTAATCTTTGTAAGGACTAATTGTCTCATGGCTATGCCACAGGGATTTCTATTCGTTCTTACAATAATAAAAGGCTGAACTTGCCTACAGGTCGAAAAGGTCAGCCCCAAAACTGTATATACGGTGGTGACATTTTAGAATTTTTAAATTGGTGTTTCTAAAACCTTTCCTTAAGTGCTGACGGGTTGTGTTTTTGTCTAGACCTTTTAGGTAAGCACAAAAAGCATGTTCTGTAACAGGTGGACTTTGGCAGCTGGATGGTTCTTCTCTCCCTCTATGATCGGCCTTGTGGTGTTCGAAGACGGGTTCAGGAAGCACCAGTCTAATTAGTCCATGTTGAAATGACTCTTATGAGTACTTTGCTCATATATCCAGAAGATGGCAGTATCCATCTTCATGATGCTCCAATCAGAGTTTCATTGTTATGATTTTATACTTGCGGGACAAGCCTCGGGAATACATTGAACAGCACTTCTTCTCTTCTATAGATGATCCCTTTACATAGTTGCTCCATAATTTTATTTAGACACCACAGGTGAATGCACCAATCTAGATTTTTACTTGGTGAGGGATGAATGGGGCAGCCAATAGCTACAAAGTGTTACTTTGAGTATATCAAATATGCCACATGTGAACTTTTATTAGTGTCCTGTTTTTTGTTTTGTGAAGCCCACTTACTATCATTTTGTGTGGATTGTGGGAATTGTACATACGCTGTGAAACTGTTTGCCTAGCAAATGGATACCCAAATTTTGATTTCAAAAAGAGCAATCACTGTCTGTAATTAGTATCTCAGCCAGCACAGAACTATATTCAATTTGTTTTTTTTCATATGTAAGGTTTGTTACTGCTACAGATCCTTGCTCTGCTGTGTGTATGCCACGTTAGACCTGAATAAACATACATCCGATAGTGTCGAAGCATGTTGTGTTTTCTCCATGTGGGGCTTGGATGTTTTGTTGGCAAGATGCCGCTCTGCCTCCATATCTTATCTTGGAATTTACTTCAGTGGCACCAGACAGGAGCTGATGTGACAGAGTTGTCACCAGTGACATAAATATTCCCAGCAGGCTTCACAGGACCAGGTTTAGCTGCTTGTGTGGCCAGCTCAGCTGTGAGCAGAAATAGGCCAAATGTGTTCAAATGGTTTAGGATCAAAGAGGAGTGTTTGAAAGAGAGCTGTCCATGGCAGTGTATGTGGTGCTAAAATAAATCCCCTTTCCAGACAAGCCCAAATTCAGGTTCACAGGACCAGTGCTACCCTGCGTCCTGCTTGGCCTTTTCACTTTCCACTGATCCTGTACATGTCTAATATAACATCATCCAGAGGAGTCAAGTAGTTCATGTTTCAGATATCAATGTAAAATCTTAATGGAACTGTCTTACAAACCTTTTTTTTTTTTTGTTTTTTTTTATTTGCTTTGTCATTGTGTACATGGGAACATAGTTGCTCATTATGTACAAAGCTTTGCAGTGTTAATGGTTGTGTTCCACTTTTCCTTATTGCAATGCAAGTCTGAGTTGGTCGACCGATTTGAAAACCATTTACAATGTGTTGCTGATCTTAAACATTAGTGATCCTCTCGCCAACTTTAAAAAAATGCAACTAAAAACAGAAAAATCAAATCCTTTTCAATGCTTATCTGCAGGTTTTTTATTTTTCATATTTATTTTGTTTAATTCGTTTGCAATGTGCCTTTTTGAAGTTGTTCAAAATATTTGACTGCTCCCTTGTATGTGATAGCACTCATTTCTTCTGGGAGTGTAGATTACTGTCTGTGCTGGCCAACTCCTCTGCCCCTCCCTTCTCCTCCCATCAAACTTTTATGGAGCTTCCAGAAGGGTGAAGGAGAATGCCATGGTGTCACTTGAGTAACAGCTCTGTCTGCTGGGGCTTCTGACATCACATCCAAGATGGCCGTCTTGGCATCTTTATCACAGTGGTAAAGGCAGGCTGGTTTAAGATGTAAGTTAAGTTAAGTTTAAACTTTTTGCTTAAAATGCATATTTTAGGCCTGAAGATTAATTCAACACCCCCC